ACGGTTAACATTTTCAGCTACTAACCCAAAGACTGATGGTTCAAGTCGACCCAGAAGAGCCCAAGAGAAAGCTCGATAAGCTCCTGAACAGTCCATTTGACAACCCGGTAGAGCACATTCCTACCCGCACACGCGCCTGGGCTCCCTGAGTTGGAATAGACCTGAGGCCAACTGATCAGCCGGAAAGTATTTAAAGACACTGGTTTCCAACCAGTGAGTATTTGACCCAGATAAGTTTTTACATCCATTTCGTCACCTTTCCTAAAATCTTAGATTTAGAAAAGGCCTTCACAGTCATGACTCTGTTTGATATAGAAATCTGCACTTGAGGTCTCAAGGAAGGGGCCTCTAGTTACATTTCCACTCATGGAGAGTCCTTCACCTTCCAAGGAAATCGGTCCCATTTTTCATTCTTTTGAACTCAAAGTGTAAGAAATGTTTTTCTTACAGCAAGCCAATATTCGTATTCTATTTGCCTTCTTTTTCTGACTTTTCCCACTGGAATGGAATCACATAGTGCCTGATAAGGAATTTTTACTACACTTGATCTTAGCCAAAAGGCCGAAGAGATGACAAGGAATGTTTAAAGACAAGTATGGAACAAATGGTCACGGCTCATGGAAAACAGATCACCATAATGACAATAGCTTTGATATAGAGGTCATAAAAAATACCTGTTTTCTTAAAACTGATACAGGAGCAGATTGTGTTATTGCCTTTCTAGAAAATCATATTGTATCATGGTTCCAGCATGAGCCTGTAATAGCCCCCAAATAGCTTTATTTTAGTTCTGAAAAAAGAAGCCATTTAAACATTTGAAGTTAAAGGACAAACCTTGGACCTTCAACTGTGGCCTCTCAATTGGTGAGATTTTGTTGTTGTTGTTGTTGTTTTAAATATCTTGATGTAGGACCAGAAATTGTGCCTAGAGGACACTTCAAAAGATAAATTAAGCCTTAAAAGGCAATAAGTAAATACTTATTATATTCATACGTTCTCAATGAAACACAATGAGTCAATTGTAGGCATCAGGAGAATCCACTGTAGATGTTATGAATAGACAAAGCAAGCCATCTCTCTAGCATTTTAGGAGCTAGAAATAGTACTCTGAAGGCCAGAATCCATGTCTGCAGACCACTCTTGAAAAAGCAACAAGTAAAAGACAGATATGAACTTAAGAGGAACTTCCTTTATGGTGTTTTCCAGAAAAGCCCTAATTCTCCATTCCTAAATCTATCAATCTATGAACTCAAAAGCACAACTATCTTATCGACCAAGCCAAGCAAACTCTGAGCTTACCTAAGAGAAGTAACAATCCAGATGCCAGGCATGTGCTATGATTATGATTATTTTTATTATTATTTGCTGTACTGTTGATTCCTCTTTCCCAAAAGGTACAACCCTTGCAGGTTTCATAGCTGTTGATAGTTGTAAGAGAATGAGGGCAACCCCTGGATAATTCTCAGCCATCCGACGGTGAAGATTGGTGCCCCCCTAAAGTAGCAAACAAGGAAGTCCAGGACCTGTCAGGTATAAAAAGAAGGATCAAGGGGGCGATGTTTAAATGGAAGGGCTAAACAGGTCCTAGAATCCAAACATCCATCCCTCTTCATCTCCACCCATTAGAAAGCATTTTGAAATCAGTTGTTTCTGAGTGAGCCAAGTTTGAAAGTTTTGGGAACAATTCCCACCATCCTACACCCAACCACCAAATTGCTCTCCTATAATCAACAACCAAGTGTCCCAAGTAGGGTCCATTAAGAGATGTAACACTTCAGCAAAGAGCACCCATTATCTATGTTGCCCTGTAGGGGTAGTTACTGCATCCTAGACCAAGTAATCTCCTTCATCCTCATCCTGAGAGAAAAATCAAATCATAGCAACTGCCCTTTTCTGGCTGACCGCTTTGGCCTTTTGAAATAGCCACCAAGCAGGAAGTCGATTGAGGTCCTTTGTGGATTACAAAGAACCATGCAACTTCATTTGTGTCTTTCTGCTAATTTACAGTCCCAGGAAATGATTTTTAAAAGCAAAAACAAAAGCGTTGTTTAAAGAGCTCAGGGGAGCAGCCTTGTCTTGGCCTGCCAGGGTCTGGCTGGCCAGCAGAAGCTCTGCGACCTCTTCTGTACCAGACCTCCAAGAGCAAGAGAAAGCACCACCGAGGTTTCTACCGGGGACAGCTGCTGAATTCCTCTTCAGCCCCACAACCAAGTCAAAGCCCTAGACCCTTCCCAGAGAGACCACAAGTGAACTCTCCCTAAGTCCCTCCCTCCAACTACCCTGAGAATGACAATAAACCGGCCTTCCAAAGGCAGCCTCCAGCTCCAGGAGCTGCTGAGCCAAGCATCAGGAAATCATTTACGTTCTTAAAGGGTGCCATGAACAGCTGGCACTTTGAGCAGCAAGGCAGTCATAAGGAGTTCACCCCAGTGACCAATGGCCAAACTAGTTTGGTAGCAGGCCATTACCATGGGTCTGAACTCACGCCGCCCCTGAGCTGGGGAATGCAACATGTACACGGCGATTCTGACGTTCAAAACCCCAACCTGAAGTATGACGTCATCACCACGTAAGACTTTTTTAAAAATAGGCATCCTAGGAATTGAGATGGAAAATATGCCAGGCTGAGTCAATCACGACCTTCTGGATCAATAGTTCACAGGTTTTCTTCCATGCAGCCTGTGTATCATTGAAGAAGACCCACCCACTCCAAGCCCCCAAGGCAAGAGAGAAAGGTGAAAGCAGATATATGTAGATATATAGATACAGATATATCTCTGCCTTACCCAAGAGAAGCTTTGCTGGTGTCTTCTTTATCTGCTCATTTTTATGAAAGTTTGGGTTGGATCGAAGTTTTACTATAGCAAGCCATGTACAGCTCACTCAGGAACAGTTTCTGTTCTATATACGCTTGGTTTGCCCTCTCTTTTACTTCTAGAGCCACTCAGTAAAGGTATGAGCAAACCCAAACTGACGTGACAAGTAGAGAGGGGTAATTGATTTGTAAAGACATCTCCAACATTTGATTCACAGTGTTTCCTCCAAGCTATCAAAGTCATGTGAAAAGTGGAAATTGAGTTCTGTGGTAGTCACCTAATCTGGTGTCAATTTGAGGATTAAGTGTGCAGGGGTGAAGTCTAACCTGTCAATCTGGAGATAGCCAATGAGACCTCTATGTCGGCATGGCCTTCTCCTGAGAATTCTGGAAAATCCAGTACTTCCTCCTTGGAGGCAGGAGACACTTCTCTCTCGGACACTCCCTGGGAGACATAGCAGCTGACAAGACACATGGACCCACCCTGATGCAGAGACCCCTGGCAGCACTGAGATGCTTCCAATGCCACTGGATCCAAGGACTTCCTACGCACTGGCCTGTGATCTACATGCGGCATCATTACATGTGTTTTGTGAATCTGAAGAGGACTTTATAGATTGGTATCAGAAATATGGGCTAATATTGGACTTATGGACTTGATCTGGACTGGGCTGGGATGTTTTCTCAATGTTCAATTGCTCTTTTATATAAATCTCTTTCTTATACACATATGTGTGTCCATGGATTTGTTTCTCTAGTCTACCCAGACTAACATAAGTTCATTCTGTCTCCGTCTAAGAGTTATTCTACAAGAAAACAGAATTGGTTCTTCTGATTTCATTTTTACACTGGTATTGTCATCAGCCTACAGTTCTGAGGCTGGGGGAGGTCACTGATTGGGACAGTGCTGTTTGTTCACTAACCATGTAAGACCTAAGGGAGGAGTGTTCAAAGGATGGTAACCAAATTTAGGATCTATTACTTGCGGCTGGCTACATACTCTTCATGCAGAATTTCACAGAATCCTCAAAGCATGTTTACAAGGCAGCTTGTATGAACCCATTATACAAACTGGTAAATGGAGGGATCTTACAGAGTCATACAATCAGTGTCCTGGGCTCTGTGAGGACCTTGAGCTTGGCAGCAGTCGATTTGAGTTGGAATTTGGGCTTCACCGCTTAGTGTGTGAATGTTCCTGAGCCACTCACTCCTGACTCTGAGCCTGAGTTCAATCAATCAGAAGAGGAGTCCTTTCCAGATCTGAGACCTCTTTGACCCTAAATCTGATTTTACAGTGGACGCAGGCAAGCAAACAGGTGAGCTGTCCCTCACATAAAAAAGATTAAGAAACCTTAATGTTCAACAGAGGAGCTTCCGAGTGGCAGACATGGTTAAACACTTGACTACCACCCAAACAGTTGGCACTTCAACCCACCCAGAGGCCCCTCAGAAGACGGTCATTCGCAGCCTGTAGAACATTCTGTGGCGCAGTTCCTCTCTGCACACGAGGCCGCCGCAGGTCAAGATCAACTGGAAGGCGACTCTCAACAACACTGCTAAAAAGATTAAAATCAAAAGCCAAATTCACTACCATTGAATCGATTCCAACCCGTAGCAGCTCTACAGGACAGGCTACAACTGCCCTTGGCACTTTCCAAGACCATAATCCTTGATGGAGTAGAAAGAAAGCCCATCTTTCTCCCACGGAGGGGCTGGTGGTTCGAACTGCTGACCTTAAGGTGAGCAGCCTATTGTGTAATCACTGCACCACCAGGACACTTTAAAAGGATGAAAGGGTCTTAATATGTGATCTTTTTGCGAAATATGTGAAAATTAATTATGTAAAAACTAATATTCCTGGCCACCCACCAACTAACCCAATACATTAAGAAATGATAGGACTTGAAATAGACAAGGCTATACATCGCGAGAGAGTTGGTGAGAATTTGCACAAATAAAGTATGTGGGCAATAAGATGGTGCTCATGAGTGTGGTACACAGCCTCTAGGAGACATAATGGATTCCAGAAGGATCTGTGTGGTCTGTGGTGGTGGGGGGAGGAAGCATCGAGAAGTGGTAGAGACATTAGAGTGTGTGTAAGTTGGCAAGATATGGCTAGATGGAAGACTGTAAAGATATGAGACATGCTCCTTAAGCCAGGCTGCTCTCCGTTTGATTTGTACAGACAAGCCCATGGGGTATGGATCCAGCAGTCGGCGGGCACCTCAAACAGGCATCGTGGATGAGTGCTGCTTCCGGAGCTGTGACCTGCGGAGGCTGGAGATGTACTGTGCTCCCATGAAGGCCTCCAAGGCCGCCCGCTCTGTCCGTGCCCAGCGCCACACTGACATGCCCAAGGCTCAGAAGGTAAGCTAGCCCAGGGGGGATCTGGCTATCCTTAGTTGATCTATATCGTAGTCCTGGGGAGGGGCCAAACCAAGGTGGTGCCCTCTAGTCTCCTAGCTTACCCCTTTTGGGGGGTGAAAATGGTTAATGTGGCTTCTCGGCAGATGTTGGCGGAGCAGGCCTGGTGAGCTACTTGTAAAGCACAGTTCTACTCTGACACCTGTTGGGTCACCTAGAATCAGTGTTGGCCTGATAGCCCCGTGGGTGGCCTGTCAAGAGCATTTTAATCCCACCTTAACATGCCTCTCCTCCAGGTCTTTGGCAATGTGGATTCTCCCTCCCATTGCTCTGAATAATCTGGAAGACCCTTGAGAGCAGTGGTGAAACTATTGGTATCAGACAAACTGAAGTTTCTCCCCCCGCCTCCCCACCTGAGAGCCCTTGGGCCAGTAACCCAACCTACCCAAGCCTCAGTTCATCAGTATCATGAAGATAAGACCTACGGCATCAGAATGTTGTGACAATTAAGTAAGCTAGTGCCCATATGATGCTTTTGTGCCCCTGTACAAAGTTGGTGATGATTAAGTGTTCATGTCTGTCGTTGTTGTTATTAATAACAAGGCATGCAACCCTTCTGGGAATCTGTGACGGCACAAAGGCAAACAAAAACAACAGCAACCACTGAAAGACTCTCAGATGGGAGCTATTTGAAATTCACATGTGGTGGCAAAGATAACTTTTCAAAAATGTTAAAATTAGAACATCCCACTTGGCTCTAAGAACACCTAGCAATCTCTGAGGATGGAAATCTGCAGGCATCTTTTTTCTAAGAGCTAGACTTGAAAGAAGCATAGAGCTGCTTTGCTTTCGAGGCCATCAGACCGATGTGAATGAACTGAGGCACAACTGGCCACTTGATAAGTTTTTGTTGAATGAGTGAATGAATGAATGAGTGAATGGCCAAATGGATGTAAGTGATCAACTATGGTTTTAGTTTCATTCCCGAAGTAGAAAGCAGGAGAACTTAAGAGAAACATGTAGAAAGAAAAAGGAAAGGCTAGATGAGCAGACAAATAAATAGGTGTCCTCAGGGAGTCTTAAAAGATGCCAGCCTGGGGTTTTAGCCTGTAGAGCCCATACTACCATCCTACAGAAAGCATGAGGTGAGAACCCAAGAAGTTCACCATGGCATCTTGGCTGCTTCCTGGTCCTACACTGCAGCCAAGACTGAAGGAAGATAGTGGGGCTTAGCAGAGGTGGCTCCCAAAGCACCCAGCCCTGGAGGTGGAAAGGAACCAGAAAGATGACAGTAGCCTCTGAAGGAGTCAGGGAGCTACTTCCTTCAAAGTAACCTTTAATTGAACATAGCAGGAAAGTGTGCTTGGTGGGGTGAGGCGGGGCAGGTTAATGCTTTCTCTTCTATGGTGATCTAGTTACTCTTAATGTCTACTTAGGGAGTGGGGGTGGGTGTCAGAAACGCAACCCAAACATCTAAAATGCTGGGTCTTGGGACAGAGGTATAGACATCTCCAGTGCCGATGCTCCATCCCTCACACCCTAGAGAGTCCAGACTCCGAGGCTCTCTCTTCGGGGGACATCACAGGAACCGCCCGTTCTCAATGCAATTATTTTTGTGATGTTTACAGTATCGGCCCCCAGCCACCAACAAGAAAGCCAAGAAGTCTCAGAGGAGGAGGAAAGGTGGGCCAAAGAAACACCCAGGAGGGGAGCAGAATGAGGGGGCAGAAGCAAGGCAGCAGATCAGAGGCCAGAAGACAGAGCAGAGGTGGGAGACTGGAACTAGACCCTCTGACCACAGAGGGAAATGGAGGCCAGGAACAGTAAGCAGACAGAGCCAAGAACGATGAGAGAGAACCAGGCTGCCGAAAGAAAAGCCGGAAGTGCTGGAAAGGAACTGGAGAGACGCAGGCCTGGTGGAGGCTGATAACACCTGGGATGGAAGGAAGAGGAGTCCATGGGCTGTAAAATGTGGCGACAGGTGGTGGAGACCACGGAAAAGCAAAATGCACTGCCCAAGGAAATCCAAAGAAAGACAGTGCCAAGGATGAAAAAGTACAAACCAAACAAAGAAAGAAGAGAAATCAGACGAGGCAAACATGGCATAACCTAACCCCTCAAAGAAACCATTTTTTAATGAGTAAAAAGCATCAGACAGGCAGGCAAGGCTTTTAGATGCATTTTCATAAAAATTTGTAGAAATCTAGGATAGAAGAATTACTCCTCTCAAAATATGTCCAGAGTTAAACATTAGCCCACAATTCTCCGTAAGACTGAATTGTGTCATAGAAGTTCCCAGAGATCCTTTCCTACGGTTGCCACTGAAGGCTCCATTTCTTAGTCAAGTCCAGGTTTCAGGCCAAAGGGCAATCTAGTGTTTGCTTAATGGCCAGTGAAGCCTATGAGGTAACCTGTGAGAGGTGGTCACTGACCTGGTTTTTTTTCTTTCGTGCACTTTGGAAATCTGATATTGAAGACTTCTGAGGTCTGATGACTGTCTTCTTGTCTTCTGACCTTCTCTCTAAGAAATATCTTTCTCCCTCAAAGGCAAACACACATGCCTCGACAGGTCTAGATCTGAAATCTTGGGAACTCCTGCTACAGAAAAACATTAGGACCATGTTATCTTAGAGAAATCCCTGGGTTCTTAGAGAGCTACTCATTCAACTCCTTTATTTAATCGGTAGGGTTAGCAAAAAGTATTCAAGATCATCCAAATGTTCGCCATCAAGAGCTGAGAGAAGGTTCAAGAAAAAAGTGCTAAGTCCAGTAAAGGATGACATGCGAAGTTAAGATGATGACAATAAGAATTGGCACGTTCCAGCCACATAGCCTACTTTAAAGATGCCATGGATTAAAGGGGCTTTCATTGTGCCTGGTCCGTTATGACCAGACCCTTGCCCTGCCTTCTATTTCAGCAGCATCTTTTCTCCATAGTTCATTGAAAATGCAGAATCCTGGAATACAGTAGAGATGTTCAAAGCTCAGCCCGATCAGAAAACGTCCAAGTAGAAGCATACTGAAACCCCAGATGGGAACCAAGTCATTGACACGGTGAGTTGTGAAGTAAAACTTATATGATCAGAAAAGACAAAAACAAGATGGTTGCCTGAGCCTACCTGGTCAGCTACTTGGGCTGAAGAGCCACTGGCTGCTGCTTCGAAGACACCCATGCTCTGGGACCAGCCACAAGCTCAGACCAATACTTACTGCCACCATCCCTTGAGAGCAGCCACAGCTGCTGCTTCAGAGGAGCCCAGTTCAGCCGCAGAAGAGTGAAGAATCCATGACCCTGGAAAGGTCATTGAGGATGGAATAAAAGTCAGTGCTAACTCAGGGCTCTGGATAAACGATAATTCTTGCTTTGTTTTAGCTGTCATCAGAAAACATCCAGTCTTCATGAGCCTAAAATTACACCCAAAGGAAAACTTAATTCAAAAGGGAGCTGCAACAAGATGATGAAAGAAGAAACAGCGCTAAAACCTACCTGTGGAAGACCGCTTAGCCCCCATGCACTAAAACGCATTTCGTTTTGGACTGGTTTAAAGCACACATCTTGAAAGTGTATATACGAATGCTGACTAATATGAACTAGAAAGCAGGGGCATCTATTACTCAGCGTGTTTTCATCTTCTCCTTTCTAATACCAATACCTGGTGATATGTGGCTCTGGATGGCTAAATGGGCAAATAAATGAAATAGGCAGAAAAATGGGCCACGGAGATGAATTGTGTTTCTGAGATTAAATGACTCTTCTTGCCCCTCAGAGGACCATGAGGCAAATGGAGAGTTCTTTTTTAAAAAGTGGAGGTTGAAATGGAGACAATGAATTTCCTAGAAATCTTCTATGTTGGAGATTTCCTTTTGCAACCTAAAGTGAAATTCTTAAAGAATTACTCCTACAGGTGGCAATTGGCTGAGTAATATCATATGGTAAATGCTATGTACCTATCAATCCTGTCAGTGCTTTCTTGAAGTAGCCATGATTTTAAAACTCCACGGTTGCCACTTTAATACACAGATCAAGTTCACAACTGTGTGTGAAACTAATGGGACTCTAAAGTCCATAGGCTCCTAAATTTATTTGGCTTATTTCCTTTTCAGGAAAAAAAAATTACTCAGCACCCCTCTAGCAATGAAAAACTTTTGTACAAGAGCCCATAATCCAGGATAAGATATAGGTATATCCTTTGGCAGCTCCTTTGGATCACCCCAGGGCCACCCAGGAGGAGACACTGATGTAAAGGAATCATGGTCCTCCAATTGGTAAAAAAT